TAAAAAATAAGTAGTTTTTGCCGTAAACAATTTGATATTATTAAGGAAGGAAAAAAAATTGTTTTGTGTTGTAGCTAAGGAGATGCCATGGGAAAGGATAAAAATGAATTCTGGAATAACAGGTCTCTTAAATATCAAAAGACTTCCTCGACCAGGTCACAGTGTTTCTTTCTTTGTACATACTGTTGCCTGGAGCATTCTGGGCTCCAGCAGTATGCAAGGGATACTCTTTGATTCTTCTCAGCTAAACAAAAGGGAAATATTAGATTCTTTTGGTTTTCATTACAGTGAATTTGATTCGAGCATACAGTTTTCTTTCTCGTATTTGGATGTTTGTCTAAAAGATCTTTGGAAGTGTACTCTAGGTGCCTTAGTTAAATGAAGGTTTTTTTGTAGTTCTTGAGCACCGAGCTGTCAAAAGACCTTTGAATGTTGTTTTTGTCCTCTTATATTCAAACAAGTACAACTACAGTCAATGCAAAATGTTGAGATTGTTCTTGTGTAGCATTAGCCTGTCTTTTATGGTATCTAGACAAAACCAGTAGATACTCTGGGAATAGATGAATTCCTGATGAGTGTTTTTATCTGGTGATGTCTGTCAAAATAACCTCTTGTGGGAGGTTGCACCATGTGTTGATCAGGTATGGTTTTTTTCTGCTGATTCACTTGCTTACCAGAGTAGGGTAGTCTTTTAGGAACACTGCTTGTATTCTCTGCTGTAAGAAATCAGTCTTTACTCTCTTCCTCCTATTATACACGGTTATTCATATGTTGAGGAAGCAAAGTGCAAAAACAGCTGCACAGGCAAAGGCAGATGGTAATTTACTTAATTGTCTGTATCTCAGAAATTCTTCTTTATGACCCTTATTTCTACTCAGTCACGGCTCCTGAGTAATGCTCCTGTTTTTTTCCCCTTCTTTATATGTATGTGAAATGAGTAGATATGAGAGTAAAAGTTCAATTCATTTAGAGGAAAAGATAGGTGCAAAGTGGTACCCAAGAAAAATGCTTTGAACCATAACAGGATTTTGTCCGTGCAGGTATAACTTGCCTAAATAATGTTTCACTACTGCTGCAGCAGATGACTTTGTAGACTACTCAGGTAAGTTTGGTTCTTAGTGATTGATATGGTGTATTTGCCTTTTGATTGATTTAAAGTCTTAAGTAAGTCAGTTGTGGGGATAAGCAATTAGTGTGTGAGTCTGATTATCTTGCAAAGTATGCAAATTAAGTGTCTTATTTGAGTTTAAAACTTCATCTCAGCAATACGGAACAAACATTTGAAATAGCTAGTTGCACTTTTTTACCTTCATCTCTCCATTCATCCTCCAAAGTGCTGGAAAACTTCCCATTCCAAACAGGACCCAAAGATCTTCGATTTCACTTCACAAATATACATCTGCTTACCAGTTTCAGCACAGTGTATAATGAAACCAAGTAGTAACACAATGTAACTCGTATACTGAAAAATTAGATGCCCTAAAGAGCTGGCGCTGCATTTTGAGTTTTTGTGAGAGTGAATATTTGTGAATTTTTAACTCTGTTAGAGCTCTTTCATATAGGTAGAACTTCTAAGGGTGCTCTTCAAATATAGACTTTGTCTTGATAAATGTTAAACAAGGAGTAATGAGCTAGAAGGAAGACTCAAAGGAGCTGCTGGCTCAAATTCTGTGAAGACCTGGGGAGTGGGAGGAGGCAAACAAAATAACTCATGCTTTCCATGGTAATGTGGATTGATACCTTTTTAAAGATGCAACTAAATAATTTCTGTTAGCAACAGTTTGTTCCTGTAACTGTAAAAGTATATCTATAGAGTAAATATTTTGCTTTTTGAAGTGGAGATTGAACCTGATGTCTGATAGGTTCAAAATATGAAAGAGGGGACTCCTTAGTTAAGAGAAGGTTTCTTAATTTCATTATCCCCTCCTCAATGTCTGCTGATAACAAACTATGCTAAGAAGGTTTATGCACTGGATTATGTCTCTGAGAAAAATTTCACATAAATTTTTGAATCTGAAACTCAAGTTTAGTTTTTCTTTGGAGGAAATGGAAGAATGATTATGAAACTATAATCTTAGGTAAACTTTGGCTGGAGTCTGTTCAAAGTGCCAGTGCTGTAGAATGAGTCTCTGTCAGGGGAATTGGTTATAAAAAATAAATAAGTACGCTATATATTTGAGATTAAATTACCTGTTAAACACTGTTTTAAATACAATCTAGTACTGTTGGGGTTGGGTGTGGTTTTGTTTTGGTTTTTTTTCTTTGTCTGCTTGATTGGAATTACTGACATAAGGCAAAAATCCAAGATGTGAGAATATGAGGTGTCTGTATTGTCTTTCACTTCTGTCTCAACTTTTGTTCTCATTTTTCCTTTCTTTTCAATTTATATTCACTTTCTTTTCCATGTTTTTAAAGACCACTGTTAGAAAGTACATGATTTTGTATATTCTTCAAATTCTACTGTGTCTGCTATCAAGTATGAAATACATCAGAATTTTTTTTTAAAGTGAAATTTTTAGTGCAGAAAAATAATTTTCATGCCTCCGTACACTATTTACTAAACATTATCTATTAATGGTTGTTTTCAATATTTGCTACACAAGTTAGCTGGATTGCATTACCTTTCTCATATGCTGAATTGGTTGCAGGGTTTGTTCTTGCCTTAGACATATTTTCTGCTGTGTAGTGTGGTATGGGGGTTTTATCTTCATTTTGTAAGAAATGTTACCATATCTCTAATAGCGTAGTAGTGGTCAGAGTAGATAAAGTAGTGGTCAGAGGAATAAAATAAATTTACTAAATATGGAGGAACAATGTCTAGAAAAGGTTTGGAGATGGTGGTAGGAGAAGAAATAGAACAATAAAAATATTTGCAAGGAAGGTGAGAATGTGATGTGTAGAAATATGGAGAGGTCTGTAGAAGAAAGGTAGACATTCAAAGTAATTTGGAAAAAGTACAATGACAAAGTTACAACAATGTTAAAAAGTAAAAAATGAAACAAATAAGGAAGGAAAGATACAATCCACACAAAGAAATGAAGTCATGTATATTTTTACTATAGAATCATAGAATGTTTCAGGTTGGAAGGTCCTTTAGAGAGATGACCTTTAGAGGCCGTCTAGTCCAACCCCCCTGCAGGGAGCAGGGACACGGCTAACTAGATCAGGTTGCTCAGAGCCCCGTCCAACCTGGCCTTGAATGTTTCCAGGGATGGGGCCTCCACTACCTCTCTGGGCAACCCGTTCCAGTGTTTCACCACCCTCAGTGTAAAGAATTTCTTCCTTACCTCTAGTCTAAATCTACCCTGTAATGACTAAGACATTTGCTTAATACATAGATTAATTTCACTGCACATCTTCAAATATATTTTTCACATGCCTTACTGTCACGCTAGGTCACTAGTGGTTTAAATAATAATTCATAAAGAAATTATTTCTGCCAACCATAGTCTTACAATCAAATATGTGAAATTAATACTTTTTGTATGATTTAACCCCGGTAATACTGAAAAAGATAGTTTATTGGCTATTAACCTAGTTGCCAAATATTACTACATAGTGCAGCAGAAAAGGCAGAGAAGATGTACTTTGTGGTCAGCAATAGTTTGTGCAGGGTAGGGAGAAGAGCGTGTGTATCTTGAGAAGAAGCTGGTATTCAGGCTGGGGATCAGACTCACAAAACTGCCCCATCCTTCTGTGGTTGTTGCTTTGTGAGCAGTTTCCTTGTGCAGCATGGGTGCTCTGGATGCCAACGCACCAACGCCGTTCAGCGCACAGAGCGAGCCCTGCTTACCCCTGCACAGCTTGCTTTGTATGCAGGGCTACTACTGGTAATACTTGTGTTTCTTCCTGTGTGTGAGTTACTTTGAGTTCACTGGTAACACAGGTACTTTTTTTGCCCTCATTGCCACATATAAGTTTAAAATCAATGGTTGTAGGATATGACTCCAGATTTGTTGTTTTACATGGGTTTTTTCTCAGCCCATTTTCATTCTTTTTCACATCTGACGTACATGTTAACCAGATTTAACCATCTGGAGGCTGAAAACAGTTATGTATGCTATCAGCAGTATTATAGAATAATCTAAAGGTACAGTCTCTTGTTGATAACTTTTATGTTTTTGAACATGTTTCATTTAGCTTGTCTATTAAAGGCAAAGCAGTTGCATTTTTGTCCTGAGATAAGTTTCCTCTGTTTCCTACTACAGTTACAGTGATAGTGTTAGGAAAATGTTTTAGATAAATGCCATTTTGATTTAGGAAGGGAGGGGACAAAACAGTATGTGAAATTAAAACAGACTCCTGAAGAAAAATGCAAATATGCATTTAATAGTGAGGATGTTTTAATACAAATGTCATAGGAATAAAATGCAAGTCTCTTAATACAGGAAGTTGAAGTTGCTTTAATTGGATTTTTGATGGCAGTTCAATTTTACTATGTGTGGGTACACTAAACTGTTGTTTGTGTTGAACAGAGTTGTATTATTTTCCTTTATCTGCAAATTCAGTTAGACTTAATTCCCTTTTTACGACTGTTTCATATCATAATCTCTTCAGTTCCCTCACTTAACAGTTATTTCTCATTATCTTCACAAATTCTGGAGAATTTAGAACTCCACTTTTTGGCTTGATTTTTGGTATGCTAAAAGTGCAAGTGAAACTGTATTCTAATGTAGTCTTAATCCGTAACCACAAATATAACTTCTGCAAATGACTGCTTTTGTCTAAGCTTGAGTGAGTAATTTCTATTCAGTTCTACATTTATGGGCTCTTTAATAATAGCAAGATACTCAGTTCCTCGTTTATGTTACTGTGTTGTATAGTTATGCAGTTTTGAGTATGATTAAAGTACTAGTGAAATGAAAATAATGCTATAAACCTACATGTATCAGATTGTCACATTTCATAGGTCTAAAATGCACAGGTCTAAAATCCAGTACATGCATATTCTTTTACAATTGCTTTTTGTCTATTAACAGATTTTTTTTTTTTTTTAATAGAGGCTCACAGGACAGCAGCAGGAAATAAACAACTTAATACAGAGAAAAATTACTGTGGATGAGGAAAATGCCTGTTTGAAGAATGAATTCAGTAACTTGAACCAGAAATTTAAAGATAAAAGCCAAGAACTTAAGGTATATTGACTTGTACATAGTTTCATAAGACTGTAGCTTTGAAGTAGTTCTTTAAGCAATGTCAGCCTTTGTGGCACAGAAAGTGACAAGCTTGGAGAAAAAATTGCCTTAGGCCTTGCTATACCTTACCGTTTTCTCACATACCAACTCCGATGAAGATGCTTTAAAGCCAAGAATCCAAGCTTTATAACTTTCAGATAAATAGTTAATGATGGAAATGGAGCAAAGAAAGTAGGAGTGTGAAGATGTGGCTTCTTGTAATTAGATTCTGATGGGACTGGCATTATTAATTGATAAAGCCAAGGTCTGGGAGGATATGTCTGTGTGGGTCTCAAAAATAGCTGGGGACAGCATCAAAGGCAGCTTGATCAATTAATGGGCTCTTTGCAAATGTGTACTCATCAAAGCTGTCATCCAGCTGAAAAATATGACCCTTCCACCTGCATGAAAGAGGCCAATAAAAGTACACAGGTGACCTTGGCCATCAAATATAGAAGAAGCTGCTGTGAGGGTAAAACTGCACAGTTTATATTTGCTGATTAGTTCTCACTTTTTTTGTTTATCGGCCCTTGTGGTACCGTTCTACAGGACACTGAGGAGTGTGCACAGAAGAAGGAAGAGCAAAACAGACTGGTTATAAAAAACCTGGAGGAGGAAAATAAGGGATTAAATACATGCTGTGCTGACCTGCTAAATGACCTGGAGAAACTGAGGAAGCAGGAGGAACAATGGAAAACAGAAAAATCTGGCAACGATGCCAGAGTAAAGGTATGAAGTGGAATGGAGTCCTGGATGTTATTTCAGAATTAACTTCTCCAGACATTTGCACTACAAGTTATTTTCTTTAAATAACAAGTTATATATTCAAATCTACCAGTGGGGACTTGCATTCATTTACATTCCTTCACTTAAGACCCACAGCTTTTTAAAAATTGATGTTGCAAAGCAGGAATCTGACTTCAAATAGTCGTCTTAAAATGTAATCATTAAAAAATAAAAGATACTGTATTTTAAGATAAAATACATATATGTAAAATAATAAAAGCTTAAAAGTATTATCATTCACAATTTTATCTCAATGTATAATTTATTTACCTATAATTTGATTGTAGTAGACTTGACATTTGTTGTTTTGGAAGAACACTTTACAACTTTAACTGCAGTTTCGAATAAATTGTGTCCTAGCCTCCAGAGGGCTCCACTCTGTGAGAGGCATTATTATTGCATATAATATATTAAAAAGTTATTTTCACTGTTTATGATAAAATGAAGGAAATAATTGAACATATTGTACAGAACATTGTATCTTTTATTTAAATGATACTTTGTCTTGTTTGCTGGCGAAAATTGGCAAGTTCTTTTTAAATTCCTGTAAAAAATAAGCCACAAACATGGTATCAAAGTGTTTGGCTGCTTATATACGCGCTTATTTAGTGGATTCTCTTTATTTACATGGCTAATGAATGCTTACAATGCTGTGGTCTTTTACAATATCAAAGTACACGACCTTCTGGTATGTTCAGTGTAGTGACTATCTAATCATCATCTTGCACAGAAATATCTTTTTTCCTCCACTAGCAATTCAATGGTTTTGGTGACACTTCTAACTGTTGTGGTGATGGAAAGCCTTTGTAAACAGCTTCATTCAGATCTGTTAACATGGGAAGTCAAGTCCTTGCAAACTGAGGCATTTGGAGTAGTTATGATGAAAGGATTATAGGATTCCCAGGACAATGAATAGTTTGTTGATACTTGGGGGAGAAAATCTAGTGTGTACTAAACTGCTTTAATAATTTTCAAGTTGCCAAATGTCGTGCTTGTAATACTGGATAAATTAGTGAAAATCACTGTTATTCATACCTTCTATGAGAACAGTCGGAGTAATTTGTAGTGTATCTGTCTTCCTGGCTGATAAGGCATGCTCAAGAGAGAAAGGTGTGAGTCACTACCATGTGATTCCAGGGATGTGAATAAATAGTGTTGGTTTTGCAGAGTGGTGTCACAAGCAGATCAAGGTGGCATCTAGAGCATGACAGAGGTAACTTCTTGATTCCCTGAGCCAACCAGAAATGACACGCAGCTGAATCTGCTGTTCACAAACAAGGAAGAACTGATTAAGGAAATAATAATAATCAATCGCATCCTTGGATATAGTGACCATGATCTTGACAACATGAAGGAAGGAAAGTAGCACAGTACAGACCTGGAGTTAAAGAGAAGAGTCTTCAGCTTGTTCAGGGAAGTGGTAGGTGGAATCCCATGAGAAGCAGCACTGAAAGGTAAAAGAGCTCAGGAAAATTATCAAGTCTTTAAAAATACTTTCCTCTAAGCCCACGTATGGTCCACCCTGATACTCAGGAAAACAAGTGGATGTATCAGGAGACCAGCTTGGCTAAACAGAACTAATCACCAAACTCCAGTGTAGGGTGGGGGTGGAAAGCACTATTCAGAAATGGAAACAGTGAAAGCTACAAAGGAGAAGTTCAGAAACATTGGTCACTCAAGGATGGTGGCAACCTACCTAGAGTTGAGACTTGCAAGTGATGACAGGTACAACAAGAGTTTCTTGCACTACTTTAGTAATAAAAGGCTGAAGAAGGAAAATGGGGGCCTGTTGCTGAAAGGGAAGGATGAATTAGTGACAGCAGATAATAGATACAGCAGAGGTACTGAGTGTCATCTTTGCCTCAGTCTTCTCTAACAAGATTCCCCCAAGCGTTTGTGCCTAGGGGCAGAGTTCAAGGAGAAATATTAAGTGGATGAGTTGTGAAGTGCCTGAGAGAACTTGACTAGTACACATCCATTGGACCAGCTGAACTTCATCCAAGGGTGCTGAAAATTGGCTGATGTCTGTCAGGCTGCTGCCTATCATCTTTCAAAAGTAGTGGAGAGGTCAGGGTATATCCCCAATGAAAAGGGTAATCCAAGAACAAATGTTGGTTGGCCTCGCTTCAGTCCCTGGGAAAATCACAAAGAAAGTTGTCTTGGAAGTAATTTTGGGACACATAATTGAGAAAGTGACTATTAATGGGTTGTATTCTCTCTGTAGGCTGGTAATAAATGGTGTGCTGCAGGATCTATCCTGGACCTGTCTTGCTTAAAATCTTTATCAGTGACCAGAAAGAGGGGACAGCAGGCTTGCTCGTGAAATTTGCAGGTGACACCAAATGGGGGGAAATGGATGTGCTTGAGGGCTTGACAGGAATGGGCCAACAGGATCCCTAACCAGGACAAATGATGAGCCTTCCCCTGGGAAGGCAGAGCTCTGCAGCCATACCAGGGGCTGGGGATCAGCTCTGGGGGACAGCCCTGGGCACTGGCGGGCAGCAAGCTGCATCAGGGCCAGCTCTGTGCACCTAGGCAGCAACAAGGGCCAGCAGTACATAGAGAGGCATGAGCAGGGCATGGCCCCGAGAGCCAGGGGAGGAATCAACTCCCTCTGCTCAGTACTCTAGATACTGCACCAATTTTTGGGTGCAGTACGAGAAAGATACCAGTGAACTGGCAGGAGGTGAGACAGTGGGGCTGGAGACCTTGCCTTGTGAGGAGAGGCTGTGGGACGAGCTGGTTCAGCCAGGGCCATCCAACAGCATCTCCAGCACCAACAGGAGGGGATGCAGCCGGGCTCTTCACAGCTTTGCGTGGGCTATCTCCATCATTAGGAGATTTCAACCCCTGATTTGTAAAGTCCTGGGGCAGCCTGGTTGGATCCCCTGATTGAACCTGCCTTACGTTGACTGGAGACCTCCCCAGGTCCCCCCCAGCCTGCATGTGTCCATGGGTCTGATGCCCCAGCTTCTGCATTTTTTTTTTCCTTTCCCCCCTTCTGTGACAAGTGTCTATATACCTTTGCTAGTGGACAGAGTTAGGTGAATAATATTATCTCCTGAGACTATTGCAAGGATTGAAAAGCATACTAAAAATACTATCTGCAAGAGGAAAATGTTATGTTTGAGTTCTAGGAAGTTGTAATATGTTCTCTTACTGTTTTTTATCAACATTTTGTAAAATAAGAACTTGTAAAAACATAAAAAGTTGTTTTTGTAGTTCATCACTGTTTTTACATATACTCTTCCTGAAAATATTTGCTTGAAAATTTGTTTCACTTTGAATTAATTTCTCCCTCTGTTCCTTACATTCCCCATTTCTATTACTCGAGACTCAAGAATCAATATTGGATGCCAGACTGGTTCTTAACAGGGTGCTTATAAACAGTAAAGATTAATAATTTCCTTATCCACAGAGGCCAAATATGACATTATCACACTACATGATATTGGGCTGCAGATGATGTTCTAATATATACACCCCAATAAAACATGTCCCTGAAATGCTTTTTAAAAGTAATTTATGAGCAAATTTAATAATAGAATTGTATTGTTTTTCTCAAGTGATTTTAAAAATGGTTATAGATAAAAAGAATTAAAATTCAGAATTATATCCCCTTCTGAAAGTCAGTTCTGCATCTCAGCCTTGAGTTTGGCTGTTGAACCAGTATCTCTTTTTGTATGTGATTTTCAGTAATAAATACTATATTTAACAATATTGTAGATTATGTATACAGACACTATTCATGTTAGTCTGCTATATCTGTGGAAGAATAAAATGAAACCTTATCAATGTAAGCTACCCCAACATTGTTTTTTTCAGTCTTTAATCTATTTGCTGTGCAGAAAAGTGTCCCTTGTCACTTTCAGCAACTGGTTGTTTCCAGACCTACTATAAACTGTTAATCAGCCACCTTATACATGGATGTGTCTCCGTATTAAGACACATTAAGAAAGACACAGTAAGAAAGAATCAGGCATTTGAGTTATTTTATTGTTCTTTGTGTTGATGTTACTTAAGTTATTGTTTAATAATAATAAGAATGTATATTTTCCCAGACTCAGTCACAGAAGGCTTTGTGTGTAGACACAAAAAATGTCAGACCAGCAGATTTTAAGTGGAGGTGACCTAAAAGATAGCAACAGACGTCATCTATCTGGACTTCTGCAAAGCCTTTGACACGGTCCCCCGCAACATCCTTCTCTCTAAATTGGAGAGCTATGGATTTGATGGATGGACTGTTCGGTGGATAAGGAACTGGCTGGATGGTCATGTCCAGAGGGTAGTGGTCAATGGCTCGATGTCCGGATGGAGACCGGTGACGAGTGGTGTCCCTCAGGGGTCCATGCTGGGACCGGTGCTGTTTAATGTTTTCATCAATGACTTAGACAGCGAGATCGAGTGCACCCTCAGCAAGTTTGCGGATGGCACCAAGCTGAGTGGTACGGTTGACATACCAGAAGGACGGGATGTCATCCAGAGAGACCTGGACAGGCTAGAGAGGTGGGCCTGTGTGAACCTCATGAGGTTCAACAAGGCCAAGTGCAAGGTCCTGCACCTGGGTCGGGGTAACCCCCAGTATCAGTACAGGCTGGGGGAAGAAAGGATCGAGAGCAGCCCTGCCGAGAGGGACTTGGGGGTGCTGGTGGATGAAAAGCTGGACATGAGCCGG